CGAGTCTTTCCGACTCCGCCCGCATCACCCTAACTCTTCCCATCTGCGTCCAGGAGGCTCCAGCTCAATTGGCCGTCCGAGAACCAACTGGACCGATTCAACGGACCATTCTGCGGTGCACGCTGAGATGCGCACGTGTGCTGTAGCGCCAACCCGCACGACAGGGGGTAAGGAGGAGGAGGAAGAGGTGGTGGAGGTGGAGGAGGACGGAGGAAGGAACAACGTCGCAACACTTTCGCGGCGTGGCGCCTAGTTGCCCGCAGCAGATCCTCACGCACATGCTCCTTCTACTTGTCCTATGCACGCAAGCACTGAGCTGTACACCAGCGCTGCGTTGCCTGCGGATGCTGATGAGTAGACAGGCGCTGTGGCGTGCACAGGCGCTGCGGTGCACGCAAGCAGCGTGGTGTGCACAGGCGCTGTGGTGCGCATGGTTGCTACGGTGTACACATGTACACTGGCGCTGTACTGTGCGCGGCTGCTGTGGTGTACACAGGCGCTGTTTTGCACACAGTTGTTGCGGTGTGCGCAGGCGCTGTGGTATACACGCGCGCTGTGGTGCACGCGATCGTTGTGGTGTACACAGGCGCAATGGGGCATATCACCGCCTACATGCTGCTCGCGTCGTCGTCGTCGTCCTCCTCGTCCTCGTCGTCGTCGTCGTCGTCGTCGTAGTCTCTCGTCGCTCGTCGCTCGTCGCATCGCGAGCGCGGGCGCGGCTGTGGTGCCGGAGCCATACGGCGAGGGGGAGCGTTACGTCATAACCCCCCCGTTCCCCCTCCATGACGCCCGTCATCGCCGAACAGAAAGAAACACGCTCCATCTTCCGCCCATTCTTTCTCTCACCCCCCCTCAGCGAGGAGTGAGGGAGGCGAGGAGGCAGGAGAGGACGGAGGCGGCTCTCTCCTCACCACCCACCAAACCAACCCAACCCAACCCGAAGGCCTCAATTTGACATCTATTTCCAGTTGGGGGGGGACGGGGAACACTGGAAGAAAAGATGGAACCCGTACCCACCCCAACCCGAAATTCGGGTAAATTTCGGGTCTTCGGGTTGGGTTGGGGTGGTCTGGTAGGTAGTCATCTCCTCCCTCTGTGAGAATGCGCCGTGGTGTGCCGACAGGTTGTAGGTGCAGTGTTGTCTTGCCCGCCCGTTACCAAACCTTTTCAAGCCGCACTTAAGGCAATTGCGACCCAAGCCGCACATGAGGCACCTGCCATACAATTCTAAGCTAGGGTTAGGCCAGACATAACCCATCCTAGCATCCACTTATACGCCCCTGCTGTTCCCCTCAGCAGCACCCGCGGTAATCCAAGTTGGGCGCGGTGAGCACTCTCCTCTCTCTTCCTCTCCAAAGACCTCTGACGTCTGGCTTTTTCCACAAAGTGGGCTCCGGGATGTCTGGATTTTCGCTTCGAGGAGGAGGAGGAGGAGGAGGAGGAGGAGGAGGAGGAGGAGGAGGACGAGGAGGAGGAGGAGGTCTCGTCGGCTTCTCATCCCGAGCTGTTTTTGGGGGGGGCGGCCCCGGGGCCCGCCAGCGGCCCCCCAACACGCCCGGGCAAGGTTTGCCAGTCCCTGCCCTTCGTGCTGGGAAGGCCGTGCGGCCGGGGCCGCCGGCCCTGCAGGCGGGACCTCCCCCCCACGGGCTCCCGGCCCCTCCCCCCGTGACCCCTATAGCGCTGGGACAAAAGCACGACGGGAGGTTTTCACCAGTTGGGGCCTCCGGGGGCCCTCGCCGGGCCACGGGGCCCCCAAAGAGCGACTCAGGACGGAAAACCCGTCCTGGGGAAGGGGTCCCGAACTCTGGGGGTCGACGTTGCGAAAAGATCGCGACGTCGGGGGTCTGGGTCCCCCCCACGGGCTCCCGGCCCCTCCCCCCGGGACCAGGGCTCGACCTATAGGCGGTGCTTCGGCGATCTCGGGGGCCGTCTGCGTTCTGATCTCATCTCGTTTTGCAGCGAGGTCGGAGCGAAGACAGCACGAGGGGAGAACGAGGACGGAAGGAAAACGGAAAGCACCGTTTGGGTCGAGCGCCCCCTCTCCCATGAGTGTCTGACCACCCCCCCGGGGACCTCCCCCAAGACACCCCGTCCTATCCCCCCTCCTGCCCGCTCCCCCCCCCCCCCCGACGGGGCAGGGATCAAAGGGAAGGGGCTCCTTTCGACTCGATTACCGTAGTGCTAGATTTTCCTTTCGCCGACAGGCTTTGGGAGAAGGGTGCAGGGAACGGGGACGACCGAGACGACGACTGACGAAGGCGACTCTCGAACAGACAAAGTCCCTCACAGGGTCGGCGGATGTTGTCCCAACCCTCCTCTGCGTTAGGTCTTGGTTTAGAATCCGTAGCGCTTTTTTTCTTTTAACAAAATCCTCCTCCCTCCTCCCTTTCGTCGTCTTCTTCCCTCTTCCAATTTCGGCGCTCCCCTCACACGCTTCGTGGCTTCACGGGGAGCTCCACCGGAAGCTCCGATGCGTAAGCTGCGATGTCGGTGAGCTGCGATGCGTAAGGTGCCCGCGCGTGGCCGGGGTGGCCAAGCTGCTCAGGCAGGCCGCCCGTGCCAGCCTGCCGTAGGCCACCGCCTTTGGTGCGTTGGCCCGGTCGCCGTCTGTAGCTCGTGCGGAGGACACTCGTGCGGCAACACCCAGCCTTCGTCCGTTTTCCCACTTCTGGGCCTCCTGGGAGGCCCTCGTCGCCTGCGCTGGATTCGTGTCGAACTCATAGTCAGAACGTACCCCGAGAGAGGTCCAGGGAGTAGCGGTATCGGTACCTCTTTCTTGGTTTCCCCTATTTTCGTCACATGCTCGTATTTCTCACAGATAGGACGTCCCAGTTTCTTTCCAGTTTCGTTTCGGTACCGTTCTAGCTTCGTTCCATTTCGTTCCAGCGTCATCTCAGTTTCGTCCCGGTTCAGTTTCGTTTCAGGTTCGTTGCGTTGTTGTTTTTGTTCGTTCCAGATTCGTTGCAGTTTTGTTACAGTTTCGGTCCGCTTTCTCATCGACTTCTGTTCAGTTTCGTCCACATAAAGCTGGAACGGAAATCAAGCGCACGTGCGTCATTGAAGGTTGCCGCGACCTTGCGCCTAATCTGGCGATCTACGATGTTCGCTGCGACGGAAAGGTGTCCTGAAGTTTCTCGCCGTTTTGGGCTTTTCCGAGGCGGGGATTCGTCCGTAACCACCGCCTGCGGGCTCGATCTTCGTGGACCTGGGGCAGGCGGTGGATATTGACATTCGGTCGAGCGAGGGGGGGAAGTGAGAAAGAGAAGGCTTTCTCAGAAGGCTCGGAAGACCCCCAGGCCTTCTGAGAAGTTTTCTAAGCCTTTCCTTAAGATGTAATCAAATTCTCAGAAGGCGCGAGGGCTTCTGAGAAGTCCCACCGCTTTCTGAGAAGACCTTCTCCTTCTCATTTCCCCGCCTCGCGGGAAGGCCACGGAGTCCAGGCCCCGTTTCCCTAAGGACCAGCTTCCTTCCTGTTGCATGCGTTACAGGGCTCATTTCAATGCCGCTGATTCGATTCGATTCGATTTCGATGGATTCCGATCCCGATTCGATTCGATTTGGGATTCCGATTAGGGCTCCGATTTCTCACTGGAGGCCTACTAGCCTGCCGATGTCTGCCGGTTCGACTTTTCCCGACTCGGCTGCCGATATCCGTCGATCGCCGATCCGATTCGTCGATCCGATTCTGGGCTCTCCTGCGTTGTAACCCCAGGGCAGCTGCAGAGGGGGTCTTCCCTTCCCGGAGGCTCCCCCGCCCTGGGTCGCGCGACCTCTCATAGATCGGGGGCGGCCAAGAGGGGGGTGATGACTAGGGGGGGTTGGACATCATGGCGGGGGCCATGAGATCTCCCCAGATTTCATGACGCTTCTGCCTCTTCCTATTTCACTACGTCCCCGCCCCCCCCACGGGGCCGCGAACATGCCGCTGGCCATGATTTGCGCCCCCCCCTCTTGGACGCCCCCCTCTTGGCCGCCCCCGATCTCATACAGGGGGCATTTGCTGCTCGAAGAGGCCAGGAAGCGTGCAGGTCGGGGTCTCCGTGGGGAGCACCGGCGCTCCCGCTCAGGCGTTTGCGGCCTGGAGGAATGTATACACAGTGGGCTCATGCGGCGATGGCTTGCAGGCGACGCCGGCGAAGGCGCTCAAGGTTCAACTTCACGCGACAACGACGAGGAAGCACCAAGGGACGTGGTAACGCCTTGGGGCCCGACTGAATTCAACCTGGAACGATGGGGGGCCGCGATCGTTTCAAGGTGAAACGATCGGCGCGGTGTCAAAAATCGATGCCCGCGCCGACGCCGCACGAACCTGCCGTACTCTCGAGGCCGTGGGGGATCTCACTACGCTTGGTGCGAGGTCCGTCTGTCTAGGTATCAGAAGTATGGCGTGTAGAACTTGCTTCGCTGTAGGAGCGGAGTGACAAGGAACGCTGATCGCCAACGCTGTGGTCAGCCTGCGCTGGTGCGACACGGCCAAGACGCGGTTGCTTTCGTTTTGAGCGGCCCCTCGCTGGACATAGTTGGAACCCAGGCTTGCAATATTTTTATGTTTGTTAGACGGTTCCCTGCTCGCGGAATCGATACTAGCCAACATCATTGAACGTGACATGACGGTGAGTCCGAGGTCATTATCTCTTTGATGTAATTTCCGGTCAATGCAATACCGAAGTGCATTTCCATGCAAGTCGATGTTCTTTCGCGCATGCGCGGATATCTTGCGTAATTCATGTTTGGACCCGCGCGCATGGGACTTGAAAGCAGCAATTACTGTTCCTATTAGAATTTTGTTACTCGCCCTCATCTTCCCTGTCCTCTTTGTCCCGTCATTCCTCCCCTTTCTCCTCCTCTATCTCGCTGACGTCCCTCTTCTTCTCTTCCCATCCTCCTCATCGCCCTCCTTCTTCACCCTGATCCGCGCTCCCTCACTCGTGCGAGTCACCAGAAGAAGCCGTGCTGGAGTACAACGAGCTCTTAGCCACTGTTTTCCCTAACGCTTCCCTCAAATGTGTCTTAAGATCTAGTTCCGCATCCAAGGATAAACATCTCTGGAGGCCGAAAAGACCGCCAGAAAACAGACACGCCCATCCTTCCGTGGCGCCGAGCGCAACCGGCTTGCGGCGGACTGCGGCTCCCTGCTCGGCAACGACCGATCCGCGCCGCTCCTTTGCGGGTCCCAGCAAGAAACACTCCCACCGCCACCTGTGTCCCCCCGCCCTCCTCCACTCTCTCCCCTTTCCTGGGAGTGTTCGGTCGCAAATCCTGGGGGCCTTGTGTACCCTCGGAGGGTCATGAAGGAGGTGCAGGTCGACAAGGCTCAGAAGGTCGTGGTCTCTGCGTGCATGGCGGATCCTCCTTGCGTGCACGAGTCTACCGAGTACGACTGGTCCGTCAACATGGCGCGCCCCACAGGCGCAGGCCCCGACGGATACCAAGAGTAACCACGCCGTGTCGAAATCAAGGGCGTGGGCAAGAGTATGACCTACGACGCCTAGGAAGAGTCGTACATCATCGGCAAGGGCAAGGGCGTCCTCAGCTCCAGAGGCTGAGGGTATCGCGTCCGCGGGGTTCAGAACCGAGCCATTATCCTCACGTGTGCCAGCCGAGTGCCTCCAGCTCCAGAGGCTGAAGGCCTCGGGGCCGCCGACGTGGTGCGGCGTTCCTCCTGCTCATGTGTATTGGAGGAAATATCGACTACCTCTTCCCTCGCTCCGTCGGCGGTGTCGGGGTTGCTCCGAGCCCGCGTGCTGCTCCGTCTTGCCTGTTTCTGCTGAATTGGCAAACCCGCTAGCGATTTGGACGTAGTTGCGCGGCGCTCATTGGCATCCAGCTGCACGCCGCGCGCCGACGCAGCAGCGTGGCAGCGTTGCGCTCTTTTTCCTGCCTCACGCCCACGTGGGCGAGCATAAGTGACAAGTGCCAGGATGCCTGTCGGGAGGCTGAAAGGGCACTAGCGCCACCCAGTGGGTGCACTCAGGCCTGCGCAGATAGCAGGACGCCTTTTGGGGGGAAACAAGTTTTTTATCGTCGACTAGCGTCGTTTAGCGTATGGGAGTCGATGGGACAGCGCCGGCCCAGCGTCGGCTAGCGTCGATAATGCGCCGTTCTGGCTTCGATTGGCGTCGCCTTGGCGTCGATCGGCGCCCATTTATTAGTGTCGGCTGGCGTCGACGCGCACGGGCCGGCAAAATGGCACGGGAGGCCCCAGCGAGGTGCCACCGAAGAAAAGGATACTCCAGATTTCGTAATAAAGGGAGGGGGGTCTCATTTCGGGGGGGGTCTCTTCCAAGCTATCTTGGAGGGCCTGGGGGGGTCTGGGGACGATGTTTTGGAGGGTTCTCCCAGGGGGGGGGTCTAAAACTTCTCGTCTGGGAGGGTTGAGACCCCCTCCCTTTTATTTCGAAATCTGGAGTACGGGAGGCCCCAGCGAGGTGCCACCGAAGAAAAGGATATGGGGGCGAGGGGGGCGGTGGTGGTGCACGCGGCGGGGCCCCGCAGTTCCTGCCGCTCCGTGCCGGTTCTTCGGTGGCCGCAGGGCAGGTTCGCGCCGCGTTGACCGGCGGCGACCCCGCGGCCTACGTTCAACGTTGAACGCAGCTGGCGACCCAGCGCCGTCGAGGAGGAAGCGGTACCGATGCCGTTTTTTGTTTTGGTTCGGGGGGTGGGTTCTGGGAGGACCTCATCGCCGCCGCTGGGTTGTTTCGAAATTCTGGTGAGAACGCAGCCTGGGAAACGTTTCGGGAGTTGCGGTGTCGGTGCCTTTTGGTTTCCCCATAATCGGTCGATGCTGAATGATCTTATGCCTCGGGCGAGGGCGATCACTCCAAGTGGAATGATCCCCGCGGTTTCAGAAACCAGCGTCGAAATCTGCACAGCACGAACTTTTCGAAACAAAACCGTGTCTCCCTTCAGGAGGAGGAGGAAGAGGAGGAGGAAGAGCATGAGGAGGAGAAGGAGGATGAGGAAGAGGAGGAGCAAGAGGAAGAGGACGACCAAGAGGAGGAGGTGGAGGAGCATCTGGACCCCTTCGAGGCTGAGTCTGCGGAAGGCCACCGTGCAGGTGCGCATCGAGTCGATCCACGCAGCCGGCGCTCGAATCGGGGACTGCCGGGCGGTGCCGCTATCTGTCGGCCTTGGCGGCGGGGAGGGAGGGAGGAGGGGGAGGAGGGAGGGGAGGGAGGGGAGGGAGGGAGGGAGGGAGGGAGGAGGATGGGGGAGGGATGGGGGGGGAGGGAGGAGGAGGGAGGAGAGGGGGGGGGGGGGGGGGAGAGGAGGAGCGAAAGTAGGACGAAGACGAGCGGGATGCTTTCCAGAACGGTCGGAAGACCCGCAGCAAGCTACCGAGAGGCCCAAGATGCTCCCGAAGAGCCTTGCAGCAGGTCCATCCAAGACCCAAATCCGCCGGTGCCACATGGTAGATGGTATGTGCACGTGGGGTGTGGGACATTAGGTGTAACGTTTTCTTTCAAATGAGAAAGGAGGCTTTGTCTGGTCCGTGAAGGAGGAGGGTGTGGCATCATGAAGGGACGCTGATGCAGTGCTGATGCTGCTGTTGATGATGCTGATGATGATGCTGATGATGCTGATGATAATGCTGATGATGATGATGTTGATGATGATGCTGAGCTGCTGCTGATGCTGCTGCTGCTGATGATGATGATGATGATGATGATGATGATGGTGTTCATGGTGATCATGATGCTGACGATGCTGATGACGACGACGATGACAATGATGATGATGACGATTTTGATGACGATAATGAGGAGGAGGAGTTGGATGAGGAGGAGGATGAAGATGATGATGCTGATGCTGATGATCACGATGACGATGATGATTATGATGATAATGAGGCTGATGATGATAATGTAAAAGGAGGGTGATGGTGAAGAATATGATGGTGATGGTGATGGTGAAGGCCGGGCTGCTGCTGATGATGATAATGATGATGATGACGATGCTAATGCTGGTGCTGGTGCTGATGTTGCTGCTGCTGGTTATTCCGATGATAGTGATGATGGTGAGGATGATGACGATGCTGATTATCATGATGATGCTGATGCTGGTGGTGGTGGCGATGATTAGAAGGAGGATTAGGATGATGATGACGATGACGATGACGATGACGACGACGATGCTGATGATGGTGCTGATGATGATGATGATGATCATTTTGATGATGTTATGGTTGCTGCTGTTGATTATAATTATTGTGATGATGCTGCTGATGATGTTTCCGATGTCGCTGATGGTGACGACGATGTTGATGACGACGACGTTTGTTATGATGATGACGATGATGATCATGCTGATGATCAGGATGATATTGAGGATGAGAATGATTCGCAGGCGTGACACGAAGGGGCATGTGAGTGAACTCAAGCATTACGCCCCTGCCTCTCAGCACACTCCTGCTTGTCTGCCGTGTCCTGCCTCGAGCCGCCTGCCCGGAGGAATTGCCGGGAGACCCACTGAAGGGCATCGAGGCTTCATTGGCTCGCCTGCATAAGGCGCCACGGGATGTCTGCTTCGTAAGGCTTCGGTTAAGTCGGGTATGGGTATGGGTATGCCCCTCTACAGAAGGAACGTTCTGAAATAGCAAAGCAAGAGACTGGGTGCGATGTTTCGACTCTTTCTCGGAGTATGTTGCACACAGACAGCCTTTCCCAGGTAGTCCTGGCCAGCCTCAGTAGTCCCCCCGAGACGGCGGGAGCGGTCTCAGCACCACGCGCAAAATCGCCTCGGGGGTGGCGCCGGAGGCGGCGTCACGGTGTCGAGACCGCCCCCGACTGCTTTGAAGTCGGGAATGCCCCTCTACAGGAGGAATGTACGAGAATAGTAAAGAATAGTCTGTTGACGATGTTTTTGTGTTTTTTTGATCATGTTTGGGCATTGTTTGACATTGAATTGTTTACCGCACCCGACTACTTTGAAGTCGGGAATGTCCTTCTACAGGAGGAATATTCGAGAATAGTTGAAATGATCTGGTGATGCTGTTTCTTGCTTTTGATCATGTTTGGGTATTGTTCAACACTTTTCGATTTTTTTCCTCCAGGGTCCGCCTGTAGGAGGACGTGCCCGACCCAGGACTTCTTGGCGAGGCTTGTTTGGGCAAGGCGGGACTACTTGGGGCGGGATGTTTGTGGGCAGCCCGGAGCCTCGCCCTGTGTGTTGCCCCCTTCGGATCACCCCGTCCCTTGCCTCCGTGTATGGTGATAGGCTTCATGTCGCCCGCGCGCGTCATGGTCCGAGCTGGTAGCGGTGTGTAGGGAAGGGGAGATGTTTAAAGATCAGGGCCGCTTGGGTTGACCTCTTCTCTGAGCTCGTAGATTGCCTCGGACTCTTCCTCTAAGTTCAGGCTTCTGGGAATGGCGGCATGCCCATCCTGGGATGGCTTGCTTCTCCCCCTAGGCCTCGTTCTGTCCCGTCTCCCTTCCGTTCTCTGCTGGCTTGTCGCGGCAAGCTCAAACACAGTGTGCTCGTCAGTCCTCTTGAGCCGTAGGCAGTTTCTGTTCGTCTCGGCTCCCTCCCAGTCCTGTCGCATCGGTTCTCAAGGGATCTCCCCACGGTAGGAAGATGGGTGCCCTCCCAAGTCTGTGCCAAGGGGCGAGGAGAAGGAAGCAGGATGTGGATGAGGAGGAGGAGAGGGAGGACGAGGAGGAGGAGGAGGAGGAGGAGGAGGAGGAGGGAAATAAAGCAGGAGGAACAGTCGTCGGATCGGGAGGGCGAGCAGTAGGAGGAGGACTGGTTGGTGGAAGGAGGAGGAGGAGGAGGAGGAGGAGGAGGAGGAGGAGGAGGAGGGGAGTAGGAACAGCGGAAGGATGATGATGAGGAGGAGCATGCGCTGGAGGAGGTTGAGCAGGAGCAGGACGGGGAACATGAGGGTATGAGGAGGATGGGCAGGATGACCAGGAGAAGGGATGACAAGAGATGAGCAACGAGGGGGGACGAGCAATGACGACGGATGATGAGGAAGACTGGTGATGGGAGAGGAGGACGAACAGCATGAGGAGATGAGCAGGAGCAGTGCAGGATGAGGTATGATAGGAGAATTTGAGGAAGAGGGGGACGGGACCGAGCATGATGAGGAGGAGGAGGACAAGGAGGAGGATGGGAAGGAGGAAGTGGAGGAGATGCCGATGGTTGCCTGTCGGTTTCTTGTGTGCCGCTTGTTGGTCGCTGGTCTGCGGGGGATTATTCGGCTGTTGCTTGCAGCTCATTCGCAGGTGGAGCAAGATCAGCAGCAGCAGTAGCAGACAGACAGACAGACAGGCAGACAGACAGACAGGCAGGCAGGCAGGCAGACAGACAGGCAGGCAGGCAGACAGACAGACAAGGAGGGTGGACCAGTACGAACGAGGAACGTACTGATGAGTATGCTGGTGCTGTTGTTGTTGCTGATGATACTGAGGTTGATAATGAGGAGGATGTTGCTGATGATGAGAGTTAGGATTTTGAGACTAACGTTCGCGCTTATCATGATGCTGCTGGTGTTGATGTGGAAGTTGCTGTTGATGTTGACGTTGCTTTTGTTGATGCCTTTGGTGGAGTCTCTGCTGCTGCTGTTACTGCTGGTACTGATGTCGATGCTGATGAGGACGATGATGGTGGTGGTGGTTCGATGGTGACGGTGATGGTGATTGTGATGTTGACGGTGAGGTCATGGTGGTACTGACGACGATAATGTTGAGGAGGATGAGGTTGATGATGACGATTCTGATTATGGTGATTATGATGGTGATGATGGTGATGATGGTGCTTATCATGATGATGATGCGGTTGATGCTGATGATGCTGATTATGATGATTGAGCTGATGCGGATTTGTAATATCATGCGGATGATGCAGATGCTGATGCTGATGCTGATGCTGTTGATGATGATGATGTTTATGAGGATGAGGATGATCGTGATGATGATGACGATGCTGCTGGTGATGCTCATGTTTATGATGATGCTGATGATGACGATGATGCTGATGGTAATGATGATGCTGCTGATGCTGATATGATGATGTTGATGATGATGCTGATGATGCTGATGATGACGACGACCAGGAGGATGATGAGTGGACGGAGAGGAGGAAGTAAGTGGAGGCAGAGCAGGGATTGGGGATGGGAGGCGAGGTCGGAGTTGGCGAAGTTAGCCGTTGGCCTTGCGTCTCTCGCGGTCCCCCATCCGCTTCCTTCGTTACCAGCTGTGCGCCTTGAGTTGATCCCTGGCGGTCGTCTTGCGATGCAAATCCCATCCTTCCCCGGTTCCTGATAGGTACTCTGGCGGTGCCAGACCTGGCTCGTCACATCCAGCCTGACATATAACCCTCGGCAGCCTCATTTCAACGGCCCTGCCTCGACAGCCTGGTTCGACAGAGGTGAAGCTTTGATGAGCGGGTAGATGATGGGGCTTGCGATGTGAGGCCTGGAGTTGCTGCCTCGTGGGCTTCGGTCTGAGGTCTTGCCAGCTTGCGGTGACGCGTATCTGGGTTACGCACGGTCGAATTCTTGGCAAATCGCTTTTGGCAGCCGTTGCTAGTATCTAGTCCCCCCTTGCTTGAGTCTTTGGTGGGGCGCCGATTTCCAGTCTCAGCACCGGCTTCCTTGAAAGCAGTACGCTTGGCAGAGTCGCGTTTTATCCCAAAGACATGCTGGATCTTTTCAGACCTAACGATTGGGCCCGCGATGTGTCGCTGACGAGCGGCGCGCACATGCGCGTGAAAATTCTGGCGATCCGCCCTCGGTCTCGACAGTATTCTCTTTTCTCAGGGGCCAATCGGCCCTGCGAGGCCCGGCGTGGGTGGAGGAGGAGGAGGAATCGTAATATAAATAATAAACATCAGAATGCATAAAGTAGGAACAATCATGCTAACATGAGGCAGACGAATAATCATAAGAAGATGAGTACGAAGGATACCAATAAGACAAATGTGGATAATCATAAGAATACTTAGAGTACGAATCATCAAAACAATAAGCGTAATCGAAATACTGATCATAATGCAACTAAGCATGCAATTAGTAACACTGGTACGGGGACTACAGTAATACCAAGACGAAGACGAATCCGACGAAACATAAGCATGATAATCACCATGAGAAAGCTAGGACGAATACAAAGCTAATAATACATACGACGAGCAAGGCCAACACGAATACTGAAAATAAGACTGATGCTACTACCAATCGTAATATGAATACTGTGAAGACGAGCGATACGCAACACAGTGACTAAACATACTAGTAAACATTCATCATACGATGGAGACAATAAGCATGGCACGACGAATATTACGACGAACTCTACTAATACTACTAGCAAGAAGAAACAGAGGACGATCACTAATACGAATACTAGTAATTTGAACGCGAGTTAGAATACGATAACGAATCCTAGGCACATTGATAATAATGTTATTACGAACAAGTGCGAATCGTAATACTGTTGAGACAACCAACAGGAATGCTACTAACAAGAATACCACGCATATTCATAACAATAATACGAGGAGGAGGAGAAGAAGGAAGTGGAGGAGGAGGAGAAGGAGGAGAAGGACGAGGAGGAGAAGGAGGAGGAGGAGGAGGAGGAGGAGGAGGACCCCCCTCTCCCGACAGGGGCGGCCCAAACACTGCCCCGTCGCCGAGCTGATGTACCGGCTGGGCCGCGAGCTGAAGCGCGAGGACCTCGCCGCGGGGGGCCGCGGGAGGGCGGAGAGCCCTCGCTCCGCGGGGGGCGGCGCCGAGGGAGGGCGGGGGGGGGGCGCGGTGGGGGGGGGGGGCAGGGCGCGGGTGAGGGCGCGGAGGAGGGCGCGGGAGAGGGCGCGGAGGAGGGCGCGGAGAGGCGCGGGCGCGGAGGGAGGCGCGAGAGGGCGCGGGGAGGGCGCGGGAGGGCGGGGGAGGGCGCGGGGGGGGGCGCGGGGGGGGGGCGGGGGGGGGCGTGGGAGGGAGGGGGGGGGGGAGGGAGGGGACAGCCTGGAGGCGAACTGCCGAGGGCCCGTCTGGGCCGGCGTCGCCAGGCACCCGCGGGAGCGCCCGAGCATGTGCGGCGGAGAGTACGACGCCGACAGGGTGCTCACGGAGGCGTGCGACCGCTGCCGGGGCGAACCGCGCTCGAGAAGATCGTGGTGAATGCGCCGACTCGACGGTCGTATCTGCGGCGACTGGCCAGGCTAGCTCGCTGGTCGGGAAAGGCAATTGCTCGGGACATCGGCGGAGTTCAGCTCGACCAGAGTCAGGGCGAGATCGTTCGGTTCTTTGGCAAGACGAGCATCCCAGATCTGGACCTCGCGATTGCGGGGCACCTCAACGAGGAGTTCGAGGGGGCGACGGGCAGCGAGGGCCGCAGGCTCCTGGCGGCTCTGGCGTGGGCCTTCTCGACCGCGGGCAAGCAGGGCCCACTGCCCAGAGCGCGAGCGTGCTCAGAGGCGCTGCGACGGCTCGTTCCAGGCGGGTCGAGGCTGCCAGTCCCCGAGAGCCTTTTTCTTTTTGGGTTGGTGAACGAGCTGATCGCAAGGGGAAGACTACTTCAGGGCGTGGCCGTCTTGGTCGCCCACCACTGCCATCTGCGGCCGGGCGAGTTGTCGAGGGCCACCTGCGGCGCGGTCCATCCGCCAGTCAGTGCCAGCGGGCCAGGCGCCGCAGTCACGATCCTGCTGCGCCCGTTCGAGCTCGGCGCGAGCTCGAAGGTCGGCGAGTTCGACGAGGCCGCCAAGGTAGACCAGCCCCCGCTGGCGGCCGCCCCCGCTGGCGGCCGCCCTGCTGCTCCTGCGCAGGATCCGCCCGCGGGGCGAGAGCCTCGCCGGCGTCGGGGCGGCGTCGCTGGGGGGGAGCGCGGCGCAGATCGTGCGGGACTTTGGCCTGGAGGAGGCCATCGGAGAGTTCGTGGTGCATCGGTTGCGTCACTCATTCACCACCCCCCAAACCACCCCAACCCAACCCGAAGGCCCAGATTTACCCTCGATTTCCAGTAGGGGGGGTGTCGGGAAACATCGAAAAAACACGTGTGGAACCCTTACCCCCCCCAACCCGAAATTCGGGTCTGCGGGTTGGGTTGGGGTGGTCTGGTAGGTAGTCACTCGTGCCCCAGTGCCGACTTCGTAGCTGACCGCCGCGCCGTTGGCGAGATCAAACACCGAGGACGTTGGTCGTCAGACGGCAGTGTCCGCAGGTATCCAAAAGAGGGCCGCATCGCCGAGCTCCTAAGCCGGTGTATTTTGCAAATGAGAGAGTTCCCCGCCAGGTGTTTGGATGCTGCGCCGAGGGCCCTGCAGAATGCTGCCGCGCCGCTGCAGGCGCCAGCGTGCCTGCGCGTTCGTTGATGGTTCCACTCTTCCACGAGATCTTTTCAGGTGCGGCCAGATTGATGTGAGAGATGTCACGGTCGGGATATCTAGCGATCGCCAGCGACATACGTCTTGGAATCAAACATGAAATGTGTAAATGAGCCCTGGTGAGATGCATCAGAGGCTGGGTGATGTCTGGGCTCGGACTAGACCCAATGGTCTTCGACCTCCCAGGGATCTTGGGCATGCCATTGGGCTTCCTGCGTTGCGAAACGAAGGCGAACTATGGAGTATAGAGCTTGGTAACAAAACTATGAAAGGAACGGTTAGCATTGCGCGGGTGGCGTCGCTGCATATGGTTCCGCGTTGTATCGAACAACCGGACGTATCCTTTCTTACATGGCGCATTTACGAAGGCGGAAAATAACTGGTCAAACTCGCACTGACATCTGTCAGTGGGCAGTGCCCAGCCCAGTCGATGAGTAGCCTGCTGTTTTCCTTTAGAGTCTTTAAGCCGCATGTGCAAGCTCTGCTGGAGGATGTGCTCAAAAACAAAACAACAACAACATGTGGCTTTAGCGGGCAAAACGAACATGTAATCTTTGGGTCTCGAGCGGCCGAGGAGCATCCAAAGCTGTTCTCCAGAGCTCTAGCCAGTGCCTTTGTGAATGGCAGCATGTGTCTCGAGTCCGCATCCTTCGCTGCTGTGCTTTCGTGGGTGTGAGTTTATCTTGGGAAAAGCAGGGAGGAAGGTCCCACCACCACCCCTTCCCCACCAAGGAGGACATGTCTGCGCGTATGGAGCGGGGCTTCGCTTCAGAATTCCGGGAGTTGCTTGCGCAGTTTCCTCACTGGACGCTGGGGCACAACGCTTGAGATTGTACAACTGGTCGCACCGCCCGAAGTTTAAACGTGAGTCCGCCTGTCATCGTGCCCCGAGGCTCCCAAGGCACCCTGGCGACAAAATCTGGCAGTTGTCTCACACGCTCGTAAGGCAGATGCAGATGATGAGGATGATGATGATGATGATGATGATGATGATGATGATGATGGTGGTGGTGGTGGTGGTGGTGGTGGTGATGATGATGATGATGCTGATGATGATGATGATGCTGCTGCTGATGATGATGATGATGATGATGCTGATCATGATGATCATGATGATGATGATGCTGATGGTGATTATGATGATGGGATGATGATGAGGATGAGGATGATGATGAGGATGAGGATGAGGATGATGATGATGATGATGATGATGATGATGATGATGATGATGATGATGATACTGATGGGGATGAGGATGAGGATGAGGATGGGGATGAGGATGAGGATGAGGATGATGATGATGATGCTGCTGATGATGATGATGATGATGATGATGATGATGATGATGATGCTGATGATGATGATGATGATGATGATGATGATGATGATGATGATGATGATGGAGTTTTCGTCGTGGATGCTAGGCCTGGGCCTCTGGCGTGTCTTTGGTGGCTCTCTGGGCCTCTGCCTACCCCAGAAGTGCCCTTCATGGCATAGCGGGTTCAGCTTACATGCGGCATTACGGACGCGAGAAGCGTTACGGCGAAAGTCGTTGTGAAATTGCATTCGGTCTTTACCCGCGCATTTTCTTCGCTACACTCCGGTTGCGCCCGATGTCGAAACGCCGAATCGGAAAACGACCGCACGGAACTCTTGGGATCTTGTGGAACTCATGCGGGGGCCTCTTATGGATCCCAAGATCCCAATGTCGAAACGCCGAATCGGAAACGACCCTGCACGCCGCCCTGAAGCGCTGCGTCGTCGGGAGGGGCCCCTGCGGCCGGCCGATCGGGCTCGGGCCCGCGGGGCAGGGTCGGGGCCGTCTTCGGTGGGCCGCGCGGCGGTGGAGTTCTCTGCCCGCGTGAGGTCTCGGGCGGCAGCGGCGCGGATGGCTCCAAACGCAGGCGAAGGCAGGCGGAGGAGGGGGGGACGGATGCGACCAGGTTGGCCGCATCAGGATGGGGGGGACGCACACCGAAATGCAAGACACGCGTCGGCTCCCAGGAAGATGTGTGGGCATTTCTGGGAAGTAGAGGGGAAGACGAAACTCCAGACCATCTAGGAACTCAGGGGGAATCCTGAGATTTGTGCCTATTTCTTTGTGTGTGTGTGTGCCCCTGGGCCCCGAAGGTATGGGCAATTATGGGAAGTGGAGGGGAAGAGAAAATCCCAAAGCATGTTGGAAAATATTTGGAATCCTGGGATCTGTGTCTGTTTCTTTTGTGCGTTCCCCTGGGCCTTTTCGGTTCTAGCACGCGCGCTGCGAGCGGAGGCGCGGGGCCCGCTCGGCGGCGCGGCGTGTTGTGTGGGCACGCAGCCGGGCATCCTCGAGCAGGCACCCGCGGCGTGCGGTGGCTTGGCTGTGGTCTCTGGCCATCGTCCGTGCGCCCGACGTGCTGGGGAACTCTCAGGAGGGAAATGTACCCATACATGATCTCGTCTGATCAAGATAAGCACGACGGGCGGTTTTTGGCCATTTTCCGCCTCTCGGGGCCCTCGCTGGGCCCCCGGACTGTCACACAGCGACTCAGGGTGAGACACCGGTCCTGGGGGAAGGGTCGGGACTTCCGGGGACCGCGTACTGAAAATCTCAGGACGTCTCACGTCTGGGGTCGTGGCGGCGGGCGTCGGGTCTCTTAGGAGCCATACTCTGGGGAAGCGCCAGTCTCGAGTACGCTGGAGCTCGGGCTCGCCTACGTTTGACGAGCCCTCCCCTGAATTTGGACGGCTCCATTTTCGTTGGATGTATGCAGGGGGAGCTCGCGTCAAATCTCAGAGTGGACCGTGTCATTTTCCAAATGGCCCCGTCGGGACAATCCGAGTTGTCAAGGGCGCGCATCGAGGGCGCGAAGTGATTCGCGCTTCGCGGTTCGGCTCCGATTCCTCCTCGTCCTCATCGTTTCCCCTGCCGAGGCGTCGCGAGAGAGCACGAAGTTGTTCGCGCTTCGTGCTTCGCGCAGCGCGGAGCGCGAAGTTAGGCGCCCTTGCATGTTGTCGGGCGCCCATTGGCACACCACACCATCACTGTTGTCCGTTCGATCCTGACCACAGGAGCACGAGATCACGCCGCTCGTCCACAGGCTGGTGACTCTCAATTGGCTGGAGGATCCTCGTCGATGGTTCTGGTCGTGATGGGGGGAGTGCAGACGGGACGAGCAGATGTAGGTGGATTGAGGAAGCGTGCGGCTAGTCGTGATCGCCTTTTGCATTTGTAGTCTCGTTCCATCGCGAACCATTACATTCACGCATGTTGAGGCATGCTCGCGCATCTGTTGAGATGGAGACCTTGTGAGTGAGAGGGGGCAGGAGGGAGAGAGGGACTCCCTGTAGAGCAGGGGAGAGCGAGGAGGGCACTCCTGTCGTGCTGTGCCGCGTCCGCTCCGGACGCGCGCACCGCTGGTGTCTATGACGTGTGACGCAAGCTCGGCTCCAGCCGCGCATGGCATTGCTGGGCCGTGGCCGGTTCCTTTCCGTGCTGGACCGGGGTCGCTGTCGGTGTCGCCGCGGATGTGGTCCATTCGAAGGAAAAGGTCGCCCCCGAGGGGGCGAAGTTATTCGCGTTTCGCGCTTCGCGGCTTGGTTCCGACTCTCCTCATCCTCTTTTTCTCCCCCTGGGGGGCGGCGGTAGAGCGCGAAGCGTTCCGCGCTTCGCTCTGCGCGAAGCGCGAAGCTGGGAGCCCTTGAAGCAAAAGGTGGCTTGTCCAACAGCGGCCGTTGTCGATTTAGAACAATTTTTTGCGGCTGAGCATCGCGCCCACCGTTTCCGTTCCCACGTCGGGCGTGCCACAGCGCCCCCCCTCCCGGGTGCTCCGCACGGCCGGCCGCAGGACGTCCGGGACCTTGAGCTGGCGGAGGACAGGCACTGGGAGCGCTGGGGCTTCCCCGAGAAGCTGGCGGCCCGCAGCCTTCCTCCCCCGAGCTCGTCCCCAGCGGTTGATGCGTTTGCGTGGCGCATGTCTATCCAGACACATGTACAGATTACACACATGAACGATCTGGCAAGCGGAGTAGACACTGGCCCAAGTCATGCTTCCTGCTTCCATCGATGACCAACGTATCAAAGGATCTATACAGCTATGCACGTACTACTTGTGGCTGTTGTTTGGCGCCTGCTCCGGGCAAGTGGAGCCTCCCCCCATGGGGCGTACTGCTGCAAAAACAGTCGCACGAAGCGGAGGTTCGGAGCCAGACCCCCCGTTCCCCTGGATCGCATGCGCGACTCGAACTGCATTAGAGTGGAACCCGATGTCCTAGTGTGCTTTTCGCTTCGATTTCGCCCCCAATCTCCAGTGCATGTTCGTGCGTTGATGCACGTCGATGCGTATTCGCTGTCGACCCTCGGCGCGCCAGTCTCTGTTCCATTTGCTGCTCTGGGTGGATCTGATTTCTACATCGGTACCTCCCCTCCCCTCTCCCTCCGCCGCTGCTCTCCCCGCCTCATGTCCCCAGCTTGCCCTGCCTTCCGCACCCCTCCCGCCGCGCATGGGTGCCCGGCCGCATGGCGGGCCCGCGGCGGCGGAGGCGACGGCATGTCCCGTGCCGGCGCGTGCCGACGCGTGCGACTGTTTTTTGTTGGGGTGCGGGGGGGTCGCTGGCGGCAGTCAGCGGAGCGGCTTGCCGTCAGGTGGTGCTGATCAAGGCGGAACTGCTCGAGCTCTCGGAAAACAACTTCTTGAAGGGCTGGGAGAACGTGACGAGCAGCGTGACGAGCCGCTTGACGAGCATCTTTGCGTGGACCTAGCTCGATTGCTGGGCGGCGCTTGACGGCCCAGTCAAAAAGAGCGACCGTCGCGAAATTCACCATCTCATCCACGGCGTGCGTGGCTACCGTGAATCGGGGGATGTGATCCTCCTCCTCCGCATTGTTTTTAGCAGAAGCGTCGGCGCCACGATGTCTTGGGCTTATCGTTGTTATTGCTTGCCGCGGCTTCTTTAAGCTACAACTGAACATTCTTGACTAGAGAAAACCAGTTCAGTTGGAGGTAGGCGCTTTGAGACGTGCTGCCTCTACGAACCCCAGTATTTTGAATTGTCAGGATGGGTCGAGTGTTGAACCAATTGCTTCCTTCATTCATCAAGCAAACACTGCATCATCGCGGGGATCCAGTCTTGCTGCGAGCAGAAGCTAGTCCTGACCATCTCGAAATCGATCCCCGGAATCCTCTCTGGGGGCCAATAGTCTTCGCTCCGCGGCCCACCAGAGCTCTCAATGCAGCGTGGGGCCAGTTTGCGTGATGATGGCCCTTCTCGAGTGGGGGCGGGCGGGGCAAGCAGCGCGGGTCAGGGCCTTGCCATGAGCTGTCTGCCACCCTTCAGTTTTCCTTTGTCTCCCACTCCTTTCCTCATCCGTCCGCCCTCTCTGCCCACATCGGGCGCTCTATACTTCTTCGATGCGTGGACTAGCTGCGGTTTTTCATCCTGAGCCGTTTTCTATGGGTCCTCGGGCCCGTTGAAGGCCCCCACAGGTCGAAGCTGACCCAAAACCGGCCGCTCCAATCTGTTGAAGCCTCGGATCTCTTGGTCCATCCCGTCCCTCCCTTCGGCGGCAAATTCCGAACCCTACCCTCGCCGATCAACGGTTCAGACAACTCGATGGGCGGCGGGGGTAGGATTCGAGATTCGCCGAACATGTGGCTCCGATTCGATTCGTTTCGATTTCGATGGCTTCCGATTCCGGTTCGATTCGATTTCGGATTCCGATTTGGGTTCCGATTTCTTAATGCAGATGATTGCTACGGCTACGACTAATATAAGAGGAATACCAATACGCATAGTAGTAAGATTACTAACAACAGGTCGAACAAATATTCAGATGATAAGAACAATGCTAATACTGAAGAAGTTGGCGACGAACGACGAAACATACGAATCATGCGAATCATCATAATTATACCCATGCTAGTCATGACAACGGTACTAATACGAATAATCGTCACACGAAGGAAGCATACAAAATTGAGTAGTAGTAGTAGTAGTATTACTACTACTACTACTACTACTACTACTACTACTACTACTACTACTACTACTACTACGACTACGACTACTACGACTACGACTACTACGACTACGACTACTACGACGACTATTACTACTACTACTACTACTACTACTACTACTACTACTACTACTACTACTATTACTACTACGACTACTACTACTACTATTATTACTACTACTACTACTACTACTGCTACTACTACTACTACTACTACCACTACTACTACTACTACAACTACTACTACCACCACCACTGCTACTACTACTACTACTACTACTACTGCTGCTGCTGCTACTACTACTACTACTGCTACTGCTACTACTACTACTACTACTACTACTACTACTACTACTACTACTACTACTACTACAAGGGCGAATCCAACTAATAGGAATGATCATGATAATACTAATACGTCTCTCGCAATTATCAACATATTAGTGTTCGAATAATAAGATACTAAGAATACGAATGCGTACACTACGACTCTGGACAGACGAATAATATTGCGACGACGCATACTATTACTATTCCCACGAATAATAGGACAAATGGCGATAATCATCATCATACGACGAAGTGGAATACGATTACTATGAATAAGACTAACCATACTACAAATCATACTGCTAATGATATTAATACCAATCATGCTACGAATGAACATATTACTAGGACAAGGAAGAGGAGGAGGAGGAGGAGGAGGAGGAGGAGGAGGAGGAGGAGGAGGAGGACGAGGAGGACGAGGAGGAGGAGCAGGAGGTGGAGGAGGAGGAGGAGGAGGAGGAGGAATTGGAGGAGGAAGAGGAGGAGGAGGAGAAGGAGGAGGTCATTCGCCACCTATCCTCACGCCCTCCTCGCCCCCATTCAGCCGCGGACAACACGCTGATCCGAGGCGCTGCAGCGCCAACCACCCCATCCCGCGCTGGGACCGGCTCTGCCTGCACGTGTGTGTGTGTGTGTGTGTGTGTGTGTGTGTGTGTGTCTCTCTCTCTCTCTCTCTATCTTTCGTCCCCCCTCGTACCCCCTTGAAGCCCCTCTTCGTCCGTCCTCGCCCTTCCTCCTCCTCGCCCGTCCTCTCGGCTTCTCCGCCCGTCCTCCCCCGCCCCCTTCCTCCACCTTGCCCCCCCCGCCCCTTGGGCCCCAATAGTTGGCCCCAATAGTTGGCCACCCTCGCCCAGCTTCGTTTTTTGCTTCCTTTTTTCTCGTCCTCCTCGCCCCAGCAGGACGAGGCGGCGGCCACTGCCCCCGCTGCTCGGGACCGCCGCTTTCCCCCCCCTCCCCGCGCGCGTTCCCGCCCGCCCAGGGCGGGCTGGGCGGGCTGGGCGGGCTCGCCGCCCGGGAGGGGCTGGCTGCCGGCCAGCCAGGGAGGGTGCGGCCCAGAGAGTGGGGTGTGCAGGGCGGGGGGTGGGTTCGACCACGCGCCGGGGGGAGGTGGGGGGAGGGGGCGGGGGAGGGGGGAGGGGGAGGGAGTACCCAGACCCAGAAGACGGTGCCGTTCTTCGCCGCCGACAACCCCTGTCCCGACAAAACCACGGCTCCCGCTCGATGCTTCCTCCCCTCTTACTCAAGGCGGTGTTACTCCTCGCCGCCGAAAGCCGCCGCCCCGACAAAACCAGCGCTCCCGCCCGAAACTTCCTTCCGTTTTACGCTGGACTGGCGCCCTACTCTCTTTTGAATTGGCGCCGCTCCCAGCAAGAACAACGCTCCCGCTCGAGATGTTCGTGTTTTTTTCCTCGGGACGGTGCTGTTCCTCGCCGCCGACAGCCCCCGTCCAGACAAAACCACGGCTCCCGCTCGATGCTTCTTCCCTTCTTACTCAAGGCGGTGTTCCTCCTCGCCTCCGAAAGCCGCCGTCCCAACAAAACCAGTGTTCCCGTTCGAGACTTCGTTTTGATTTACTCTGGACTAGCGCCCTATAACAACAGTAGCCCTGCTCGAGACTTCCTCCCTTTCTATTCAGGGCCAGGTCCTTGCCTCACCGCCGACAGCCCCCATCCCCACCAAGGCAATCCTGTCGTTCGATACTTCCTCGTGCTTTACCCTTCGCTGGGGTTCCACTGGCGGTCTCGCATCGGCGCAGCAAGGCGCGGGCATGTGTTTTCGAGGCGGGATATGTTGGAATTCCTCGGAGGAGGTGTTTGCAAGACCTCATTGGGCGGGAGATCTGAGAATGGGAATAACGGACCCCGCTATAGAACAAGTCCCCCATTACGTGGATGGGTATCATGATGGTCGCATGCTTCGTGTGGAAACACCGCGCATGAGGGTAACATGATTGTTGTTGTTATTGTTAGTGTTGTGTCACCAAGCTGTGCCCCTGGCCCCCGGTTTACAACAACAGCGGCTCCCGCCTGATATCCTCTCACAATCTATTCCCAACTTGCGCTGTCGCGCGGGACGTCCCCACAATTTCTGCAGGAATCGCACTCTCGCGTGGGGCTTCCTCGCAATGTATTCAGACGCCGCGCCCTCGACACTGAGGAATCACGCTTTTGCTTGGACCGCTCCCGCGATTTACTTTGGAATCGTGTTAGCGCTTGAGACCTCCGGGCGATTCATGCAGGACGCACGTTTCAGCATCCCGCCTGCCCTTGTTCCCTTCCTTCCATCCGGCCTCTCTTCCACTGCTTTACGGGCTGCACGAACTACGAATTGCATGTAAGAGAGATACACCCCTAAAGGTGTACAGTCGAAAACGAAACGGGCGGGTATCGATGGTTCGAGATTTAAGTGTTGAGTGGCACGCGAGTAGATCAGAGCGAGCAGTCTGAAATTGATTGATGGTTGTTGTTGTGAAGATGGTTGTTGTTGATGTTCCTGTTGTTGTGGTTGTTGTTTTTGTTGTTGTTGCTGATTGCAGTTATTTGTTGTGTTGCTGCTCTTGGTTTCTTACGATATGGCAATCGATTCGTCCTCTGGCTCTAGCACGCCCTCCGTATCGAACCTGCGCCTTGCCGCGGGTCAGTGATGGCGGCGGAAGCGCCAGGTACTCAAGATTTGTTGTATGTCGTGACTGCAAGCGGTTCGGCAACGCCAGTGCAATGCGAGTTGGCCAAAGTCACAGCTGGCGAGGTCAAGCAAATGTACAGTCAGCTGTCAGGCGTCCCCGCGTGGCGATTGCGCCTGATCTTCGGTGAGACAGTCATGAAAGATTGCGAACAGCTTCTCTCGAACGGGCTGCGTTCAGGCGATTCGCTGCAAGTGGTGTCGGTGCAGAACTTGTCCACTTTGCCAGGACTGGGCGGCGGCTGGGTGTTGTACATGTTCAACGGCGCAGATTTCCAGTATGTTGATTATCTGAGGATGGGTCAGAATCCAGACGGCATTGGAGACCCTGGCGTGGTGCTGAACCCCGAGGCCGACCAAACTGGGTGTTACAAGATGAGCGAGCAGTCGTTCGACGAGCACGGTTTCGACGAGGTGGCTGCGGTCGGGAGCGACCATAGCTGGGTTCTGATCCGACGCGGCGACGGAAAGGCAATCCCTGCTTCGGACGCATTCAAAATCGGGGGTTCCTCCGGCTACGAGTTTGTCTTCTCGAGCGGGGCGAGGTCCGACTCGAGCGCGAACCGGACGAACGCTGCCGTTGGCGAGCTGCACTGGGCCAGTTTCGGCCCCTTCTTCGACGACGCGCTGTACCACAACGCGCTCGACGGCTCGGGCTGGCAGTGGATGTGGTCGGCGCACCGGTCGGACAAGGGCACCGTCCTGGGAGCCAGCAGCTGGTCCGAGAGCCGCGTCCTGCAGGAGCGGCTCGGAGGCTACGCCTGGGCCTGGTACGGCCGCGCTGCCGCCGGGCGGGGCGAGGCTCCTGCCACCGCGGGCGCCTCTCGGTGACGTGGAGCCACGCTGGAGTCTTTTGGGATGTTTCGGGGGTGGACAGAGCCCCCACCCTGACACGTCGATTCGTGAAGTGTCCGATCTCGGTTCTCTGGGGGGCGCCGCGGCCGTCATTTTCCAGGCTTGCGCCCGCCAGGCTTGTGCCCGAAGTCGTTCTCGCTGAACCGCGTTTCACGAAAGGGGCTCCTGTCCACCCCCGAGTGCTGCTGTCCTTCTGTGGACCGTGGGAGGCCCCTCGCCCCATCGCCCGCGCGCCTTCTGCAACGAACGAGCTCTGGCCCCTGGGAGCGGCGAGCCTGACGAGGCTTCCGCGCCCCCGCGCCTGCTCCCGAGCGAGTCGGCCAGGGCGCGTCGGGCCAGGGGCCTTCTGCGGCCGCCTGCGGCTCGAGGCGCCGGCGAGATCCGCACGCCGTCGTGCACACGAGGCTGCCGGCGTCCTCGGCAGCACTCGGACGTGTGCATTTTTCCTTCGGCGAGGACCATCGAGAAGCATCCTATGATCATTTGGCGAAGCAGCCACGCACGAAACCCGAAAAAAAACACAGGGAATGGACGTCCGAGCGATGGCCAGCGTCGTGCAGGCTACCAGCAGCGTCGTGCTTGCGGACTGCGGGGTTCTCTTGCCTGCAGCAGCCTGCATGCTCCTGCCTGGTCAGAGCCTGCTTTTTTCTTTCGTCTGGGCGATGACGCTCGTGATCGCCCCCGCCCCTCCCTCCCCCCCCCGATCACGTCACGCTGTTTTCCTCACACGTCTCAAGATCTGCGAGGGTTCCCAGGAATTTGTCGTCGTCGCTGTTGTCCGCGACCGGGAGGCCGAAAAAGCGAGGACAAAGTCACAAAAACCTCGCTCCTCGAGCCTCGCTCTTGGGAGGGGGGGTAGAAGAGCTCGCCCACCCTGCTCTTCCTGCTCGCCCTCCCTGTTCTTCCTGCTCGTGCTTCTGCTGCTGCTCCTTCTTTTCCTCGTCAATCCCCTCCTTTTACTCCTCTGAGCCCTCTCCCTTTTCCTTCTCTTCCTCCTCCCGAGGGCCCGAGGGCTCGAAAAAGGCCCCCGGAGGCCGAAGCCCGCCGAGACGTGACCGGCCCCCCCCCGCGGATATAATACCACCACGGGCTCTCGGTTGCTCGCCGATGCGGGTGCCGGCCGATGCCTGCGGAGCGTGTGTCCCCGCCGCGTGCGGAGTGTGCGGTCCTTGCGGCGCTACAGTCGGGGCCCTGAAGAAGGAACCCTTTTCGTTGGAGGGGGGCTCGGCGTTCCTTGATTGTTTCACAGCTTGCCTCAGGTTTTCCTCATGTCTTCGATGGGAAATCGAAGTTTAACTTGTGGAAAAAAAGGGGCCTCGATCCTTATTTAGGGTTCCTTAGGTCAACGCCCCGACTGTACCCCAGAGCGGGCAGGTTCTGACGGCACTGGCTCAGGCGCAGCAGCCTTCCCGAGTGCCGAAGGCAGAGTCTGCAGAGGCAGGGGCGCTCCCGAGGACGCGCAGCTGTTCGCGCTTCGCGCTTCTCGGTTCGGCTCCGACTCCTCCCCATCCTCCTCTTCTCCCTTTGGGGGGCGGCGTGCGAGCGCGAAGCTGCTCGCGCTTCGCGCTTCGCGCCGCGCGGAGCGCGAAATTTGGCGCCCTTGAGAAGCAGCCTGTCCTCGTCTTGGTACAAGTATAACGCGAAAGTATAACGCGCCCGGCACCCCAGAAGCGTTACCCTGGCACCTCGCACCTTCATGTGAACGCAGACGAGCCTGAGACATTCTCGCAATATGGTATCCTTGTGGTTCTGAAACAAGCGCCTCGCCTGAGACATCCTCAGAAACTGCTCTGGACGCAGACGAGTCTGCGTCAGGTGGTCGGTCTGGGCGAGAACTGGAGTGGCCGCGCGCCTTCCCAGGGCTCGGCCTTCCCGTTTCTTGTGCTTATCCTTACTTTTTGTTCGCATTTTTATTATTAGTGTACTGATTGTGCTTCTTACTTGTATTATTATTATTATTATTAGTCTTGTTCTTATTGTACTTCTTGTCTTTTTGGACAAGCTGTAGTATTTGTTTTGCGCGGGTGCGGTGCTAAGATAACGCGCCGTGCGTGGCGGGGGCGATATCCTCGGACGCACTACCCCACACGACGGCCAGGAAAAACCAACTGTTCAACAGGGGTGGTAATACAAATCGTATAGGATAAGGATGATGAAGAGAATGAGAAAAAGCTTGTTTAACATTATTCGTATTATTAGTATTCTTATGTTTACTCATATTTTTCTTATTATTAACCATATTATTCGATTCGTATGATGCGTATTATTATTCGTGTTCTTTCTTATATGGTGGCTCTTATTCAAATTCTTATTGTTTCTCCGACTCTTACTCTTAGTATAACTCTTTCTCTTATCATTAATCTCAGTAGTAGCCTCATTCGTATTATCATTATTAATGTTGTTATTATTCGTATTATTATTACTCCTTAGTATTAGTATCAATTTTAGTAATACTCGTATGCCACTCAAATTATTATTTTTTCCAGTTCCAATCGGGATGCCACCCGAGCCGGGGCGCGGGAATTATTAACCCCGGGGTGTTCTTTATTGAATCGCTTCGCTCATTCCGCCGGCCCGTGATATGGCATCGCTGGTTTTTGTCTGTGTGTTCGTTGCCCATGTTGCGCTCTTGGGGGCGGGTGTCGTTCGGACGCGTTGCGTGGGGAGTTTTGATGGTGAAGCAGTTCCCTGGGGGTCGTCTCTCGATGGGGCGAAATAGAGTCGTCGTCAAGATGCTTCTTTGGGGGGCCTCTTGGGGTCTGTTGAGAGGCCGTTCGGGGGCGCCTGGGAGACATGTTTGAAGCCTTCTGGGGCTTCTTTTGGGCCTCCTGGGAGTCTCCTGGGGCCTCTTGGCGACATCTTGGGGCCTCTTGGAGGCCTCTTGGGGCCTCTTTGGGACCTCCTGGGCGCCTTCTGGGACGGAGGGCTCCATTTTTGAGTTCTCGGTATCCCTCCTGAGTCCCTCTTGGGCCCGTCTTGGGGCCTCTTGGTCCGTCTTGGGCGGCACTTGGGCCGTCTTGAGGGCTCTCTTGGGTCGTTTCGGCGCCGTCTTGGGAGCTTCGTGGGCCGTCTTGGAGCGGTCTTGGGGGCCTCTTGGGCCGTCTTGGAGCGTCCGGAAGCCGAAAAAGCCAGAACACAAAAAACATCGAAAAAACCAATGAAAATCAACGATTTTGGCCTCTTGGGGCTCTCTTCGGAGGCCTCTTGGAAGGCTCTTGGGGCGTCTTGGAGGCCTCTTGGGCTGTCTTGGGGGCCTTTTGGGCCGTCTTGGGGTCATCTTCGGCGTCTTCGAGCGCTCTTTGGGCGTCTCGGGGGCCTCTTGGGCAGTCTTGGGGGCCTCTTGGGGCACTCTGAGCGCGCTCTGGGGAGCCTGAGAGGCCGCACCCAGAAGGAAAACCATCTCTGAGTAGACTTGGTCGGGCGGCGACCGGGCGTTGGTCGGGGTACTTTTCGCCGGGGGACCCCCAGGGGCCGCCCCGCGCGCGCGAACTAGAAATACTGTTAATACTGTTAACCAGTTACCGGAGATCTTAGCACGCCCTGGCCCGTTGGGCCGGCGAATTGGCTTCCTGAGGTTATGTTGGGGCCCCCGGGGGCCAACATAGATCCATATCCACCGCCCGCTGGGGCACCACGACGTCGGTTCCCAGGCGGTGGATATGGATCAAGTCCTGCTTCGCAGGCCAGGCCAGCAGGCGGCGGCACCGAGGAGGAGCTCCTCCTCCTCCTCCTCCTCCTCCTCCTCCTCCTCCTGCTCCTCCTCCCCCTCCTCCTCCCAGGCGTTGGATATGTTCCCGCCTCGCGGGCCAGGCCGCAGAGCGCCGCAACCCTGTCGCGACGGTACGATCGATCGGCACGGCTGCCGCGCGGGCGTGGCAGCCGGGAGCGGTGCCGCCATCGTCGGGAGGCTGCGGGCTGCGCAAAGACAGCTCCCCCCCAGGCAGTCCCGTCCCAGCTCGGATGCAACTCCTGGGAGGTCAAATTCTGACTTCGCCCTGGTCCGAAACCCGGCTCACTGCGGCTTGATCCCGCCGGATCCGGCTCGATCCGGCTCAATCCCGCCTGATCCCGCTTAATTTGAGGGAGTTTCTGTGGAACTCACGTCATCCTCACCCCCGGCGCGAAGAGCACGAGTCCAGAGCGGCCTCCGGCACCGTTTCCGGACGGATCCGGACGGATCCGCTGGATCCGGGGACGAATCCCAAACCGGCGCCCTCGCCTGAGACATCCCCGCAAAACCGGCCCCGGGGGAGGTGCCCAGAGGAGCCCAGAGCGGCCTCTGGCACCGTTTCCGGACGGATCCGGACGGATCCGCTGGATCCGGGGACGAATCCCAAACCGGCGCCCTCGCCTGAGACATCCCCGCAAAACCGGCCCCGGGGGAGGTGCCCAGAGGAGCCCAGAGCGGCCTCCGGCACCGTTTCCGGACGGATCCGGACGGATCCGCTGGATCCGGGGACGAATCCCAAACCGGCGCCCTCGCCTCAGACATCCCCGGAAAACCGGCCCCGGGGGAGGTGCCCAGAGGAGCCCAGAGCGGCCTCCGGCACCGTTTCCGGACGGATCCGGACGGATCCGCTGGATCCGGGGACGAATCCCAAACCGGCGCCCTCGCCTGAGACATCCCCGCAAAACCGGCCCCGGGGGAGGTGCCCAGAGGAGCCCAGAGCGGCCTCCGGCACCGTTTCCGGACAGATCCGTGGATCCGTGGATCCGACGAATCCCAAACCGGCGCCCTCGCTTGAGACATCCTCACAAAACCGGCCCCGGGGGAGGTGCCCAGAGGAGCCCAGAGCGGCTTCCGGCACCGTTTCCGGACAGAGAGCTGGATCCGCTGGATCCGGTGACGAATCCCAAACCGGCGCCCTCGCCTGAGACATCCTCACAAAACCGGCCCCGGGGGAGGTGCCCAGAGGAGCCCAGAGCGGCCTCCGGCACCGTTTCGGACGGATCCGGTGGATCCGCTGGATCCGGTGACGAATCCCAAACCGGCGCCCTCGCTTGAGACATCCTCACAAAACCGGCCCCGGGGGAGGTGCCCAGAGGAGCCCAGAGCGGCCTCCGGCACCGTTTCCGGACAGATCCGGACAGATCCGGTGGATCCGCGCCCCGGGGGAGGTGCCCAGAGGAGGAATGAGGAGGAGGAGGAGGAGGAGGAGGAGGAGGAGGAGGAGGAGGAGGAGGAGGAGAAGATGATGGAGCTGCGGGGTGGAGGAGGACAGACGGAGGCAAGAGAAGGATGGAGGAGGAGGAGGAGGAGGAGGAGGAGGAGGAGGAGGAGGAGGAACCTCATCCTCACCCTCGCCAACAAGCGCACGCACCTTCTTCTATATACAGAAACTCCCGATCAACCGCAGAGCGGCCGGCTAGTCCGTTGCCTAATCCCGCGCAGCAGCCCCCAATGGGGTTTCATTCCCTCTCATCCTTCCGACGAACACCTCCCAGTAGTTGCCTCCTTATCCCAGCTGGCCTCAACATGCCTCCCGAGCAGTCCCAGGTGGCCTCAACAGGCCCCCCGAGCAGTCGGGGGGGGCAGCCTCAACACCTCCGCCCTGGGGCGCTCGAGCGCCCGAGGGGCGCCGCCAGAGGCGGCGCGCGGGAGGGCCGAGACCGCCCCGGACGAGTCGGGGGGCTGGTTGAGGCCAGCTGGGGCTGCTCGAGGGGCCTGCCAGGACCATCTCGATCGCACGGAAGAGGAGGAGGATCAGAGGAGGAGGAGGAGGAGGAGGAGGAGGAGGAGGAGGAGGAGGAGGATCAGAGGAGGAGGAGATTAGGCGGAGAGGCGGAGGAGGAGGAGGAGGAAGAGGAGCGGAAGA